ATTTTCCTTCACTTTTAATCTGGGCTGACGGGCATCATACCTGCTTTAATAGATAGGACTTGGAAGAAGTGATGCTTCTGCTTCTTACTTCTTGGAAATGGTAGGTCTGAGGAATCAGCCACTACGGTAAGAAGAGACCATTTGAAGTGAGAGAGAGTGGTCCCAGCTCTCCAGCCATCTGTGCCAACACACCAGACTTGCAAATGAAGACATCTTGGGCGTTCCAGCCCAGCCACCATCTGACCGAAGATTTATGAGGGATCCTAAACAAGACCAGCAAAAGAACCACCTAGTCAATCCACAGGATCATAAGTGATAAGAAATGATTGTAGTGGTTTCAAGACAACTAAGTTTGGGGTTTATTTGTAATGTAGCCTTAGACAACAAAAAGAGTGTATTAAGCAACTATCAGAGCACTTGGACTATAGAGTAGTCCAAGCATTTACATGTTAGTAGTTATTATCCCAGTGAGCCCAGCATATGGAGAAATCATTCAGGAAAAAGTCAATTTCCAGTCACGCTTTTCCAGGCCAGTAATTTATACATCAGTTAATTAATTCCTCCATTCAACAAATATTAAATGGGTGTCTATTCTATATCACATGCTCTTCTAGGTACTGAACCAAACAGCTAATTTCCTTGCCTGGAAGTAATTAAGATGATACTTTTTAGTCTTTGTTGGTGATGTGATGATTATTAAGATAACAAGAATATCAGGGTTTAACTAAAAAGGACTAATTGTTTCATATGAACATGTAAGAAATAAAGTTCAGAGGAAATCAATCATAAGTAAGTTATAATTAAATTAAGTGTTAATCCTTAACAAGCTGAATAGAAAACAATTTAGCTATCTCAAATTTAAATTAGCCTCTATCTTACCTATCATTCTTGATTTATACCATCACCTTCTAGAAGATGTCTAAAATAAAAATTTTGATTGAATAAGTTAACTCAAATATTTATTCATTCATTCAACAATTTAATATTTATTAGACAACTTTTAAATGCCAGTGGTAGTGCCAATTATTGTTTCTAACTATGAATAATTCAGACTCTGCATTTTCTGCCAAATTTCTGCATTTTCCACTTTTTATATCAGTATCATGAGGGAGGAAAAGTTTAAAAAAAAATTATGCCAATTATATTTTCTGTACCAGAGTGATTCTGATTCCTTAGATTAAGGGGTTGTAATCTTGCCTTTAGGCAGATTCTTCTATAACTAGTTCAGACTAGTTATAGATAACTGAGAATATATAATGATATATTAAGTTTGATAGAATTTTCAGGATCTTCTGGTCTGACCTTGCACATCTAAAGGTTCAGGGCTTGACAAACACGGTAAGAATTTCCATTCCTGGACATAGTATTTCTGTCAGATAAGAAAGTCTATATAATTTCTCTTAAAAAAAAAAAAATCCTTGGTAACATAAAATAAAAAGTGTTAATTTAAATGAAAAAAAGAGTTTGAATAGAATTGCAGTCCACTATTTAACATTCCCAAACTTTTCTATATAGTTGCTTGCTTTTATTCAGGGCTTGGTGAACTTGCTAATTTGAGAGGCAAGAAAAATAAGACTCAAATGCATTTGCATGATGCTGAGGTAGTTCTCAAGGTCTCTTTCAAATAAATGTTAAGCACATACACATACACATACACACACACACACAAAACTTGACAATCACCATTATCAAAGTCTAGGAGAGCAAGTCCACTCTTACATTATAATCAAGGAGAGTCACTGATTCTTGATTGTGTAGTCTACAATCCTTAGAAAAATGCCTCAGCAAAAGAAAACAGGGATAAACGACTATGTTGTTCCTTAGAGTTTTACCCACTATCCTTTAGTAATCATAAGGCTGTGTTTCTTCTTCACCAATTAAGGTTGCAACAGCAGATCACAGCTGTCCCTTAGCTGGAGGTCAGGCCAAAGCACAATTCGCCTTCCTCTTTATGCTTGGTAGTAATCAGATTACTCTTTCTCACACTTAGAATGATCAGAGAATAAGTGAGCAGGGGTCATGTTGCATGGCAGCCTTCTATATTTGTAGAAAATATAAAATTTACTCCTAAAGGAATGTTGTGGTCACTAGGGTCATGGCCTATAGATAATCACATGTCACCTGAGCAGTACAACACTAACTCTGATTTCTTCTTCATTGGTTGGGTCCTTGACATCTGGGTTGTGATGGCAAAGTGGGTGCAAACTAGAACTTATTTTTGCTGATTCATACAACTTTTTTATTGTAGCAATTATATTTTCAGTTAGAATGGATAAATATCCTCTGGTTTAAATGATAGATGGTTTCATAAGAGAAAGGGTGACCCCTTGTGGCAGTAGATGGATGTGTCCTCATCTTTACTCCGGATGGGCAAGTGATTCCTTTGACAGTAAAGCACAGCAGAAGTGATGCTATGTGACTTCTGAGGCTAGGTAGAAAAGACTATACGGCTTCTTCTTGCTTGTGGGAACACTTGCTTTTGGAGCCCTATGCCACCATGTATGAAGTCTGATCATCTTAAGAGCTCCATGCTGGAGAGGCCACAAGTAGGTGATAATGGTTGACAGTCCCAGTTGAACCTAGATTTCCAATCATCTATATTCTAAGATGACAGATATGTGAGTGAAGCCATCTTGGACCCTTTAAACCAACTCATCTGTCCCATGAAACAAAAGAATTGTCCTGTGGAGCCTTGCCTGAATGAATTCCTGACCCCCCAAACCATGAGACTTAATAAAATGATTGTTGCTTCAAGCCACTAATTAGGGTAGTTTTAAACATAATAATAGTTAATTAGAATACACCTTGTGTTAGTTCAGGTCCTCTAAAAAGTAGATGCCAGGACGAAATTAGTTGTGTAAGAGATTTATTCTTAGGTTTCCTTCGCTATAACTAAGAAAGATAAGGGGGGAGGAGTAGAGTAGGTGGGGTGAGCCTTAAGATTATGGCACAGGTCTGGAGACTGTTCCGAGAAAGTTTTGACCAGGCGTGGGGGTCCCAAGCCTGTTAGAGAGGACTGACTTACCCAGAATATTTGAAATTTTGGAATTGTGTGTTATCTGTGGTATTCTAGAATTTGTAGAATGAAGCTCAGAATCTCAGGAAAATAACTTAGAATCCCACCCAATATTAGGGCTTTCTCCCTCTCATATTGTATAATCATTCATTATAACACTTAAAATGTTGTATTATAATAATTTCATAAATATCTGCTTTATTCATCAGAATTTGAGATTCTCGAAGGTGGGTTCTATGTGTTTTTCATCTTTGCATGCTTCTTCACTCCCTAAGTTCTTGACTCAGTGAATGTTTCTTGAATGGTAACAGAAAAATGGTCAAATCATGTTTTCTGTGTAGTTCTCAGAATAAATTATAATTATCTCTTTTATTTACAAGGATTCATATCTGAGTGTTAATTACCTTTTTAAAAATATGTTACAAGTATACTTCTAAATAATCATGGTAAAGAAAATCATATGTGACCTAGAAAATATTTTATGGCACTTTGCTATTACTGCCTTTATAAATTAGTAAATATTTTTTATAGTCCTGTTAACTAGTACTGGCTCCTTGCCTTTTTCTGAAGAATTATGGATGGGAGAGTTCATAATTCATAAGGCTGACATTTTCGTTGACTTAGAAAATAAATCTCATCTTGTGAGTTCCTTACCTGAAAACTTCCCTGTCTTTGTAGCCTACTGCAGTTGATTCCCAGAGTTTTGGATTTCATGGACTATTAACATTTAAAAAATTAGGGCACTGACATTTATTTGGCAACATCTCAAGTCATCTTTGGTTGCCACTACTGAGGATGTTCTACTGGCACCTAGTGGGGAGAGGCTATTTCAATAATGCAAAGGACAGTCTGATGAAGATTTATCCAGTTGAACGTGCCAATAGTGCTAATGTAAAGAACCTTTACTCTTGCTTAACGTTGTGAATATACTTAACAATATTGTACTGTACGTTCAAAAATGGTTAAGATAGTAAATTTTATTTTATTTGTATTTTGCCATATGTCAAAAAAAAAGAACATGGGTTCTGATAGTATAGGGAAAATTTCTATTTATGAATCAGCTTTATGCTATTTTAAGAGGAATGAAAAAAATTTAAAAAAATAATTTATAGAGAAAACCATGCATGGTATGGGGAACATACAGGAGGAAGAAAGACTGAAACAGCAAAGCCTTTGCCAGCTCTGTGTCTTGCTGAAAGGTTTTGCTCTGTGTAGAAAATGATTCTCCCAGAGAAACACATTAGCGAATCTCTGTGTATGGAAAGCAAGAGCTGGAGCTGTGTGAACTTCAGGAAAATGAATTTGTGAGAGAAGTCAGAAAAAATAGGATCTAGAGACTTGAGGATTAGGGAGAATTGTGGTAGGACGTTGGAGCCTGAAGTAGGTAGCCAGTGAGAACTTCCTGATGCTGGGATAGGTAAAGGATTTGAAGGATGGGGATAATATCATTTTAATTTCATTGAATTTCATTGTCCTTGTGCAACGTAAAATATCACTGTCGATGCAAATCTTCAGCAACGTCAATAGTTTCACAAAAGCTCTGTAGGACTGGTTTGGAGAAAGTTAAAGAGAAGAGGGTGAGACTGATATCTTGGATGGCATGGGGCAGACAAAATGGTACACAGAGCAGCTGTGGCAGGAGAGACACAGTGAAATCCGGAGGCCAGGCATAGGAACTTGGAGCCAGAAGTGATTATGGGAATGTAAATCCCTTGGGAATTCACATGCATTTTGTGGGAAGAATTAAACTTCCCAGAATACTCGGAGTGAGAGCTTGGGCCAAAGGATAAGGGGAACTTAGTATAGCTTTGGGCCACACTAATGAAAAATAAAGGATTGGAACTCACACCTCACCGACCCCGTGATAGTGTGAGGTACAGATGAAGACCCAAAGTAATACAGTGGGATTTTTGCTTTTGGTCTTAGTCTTTGATTTCATTGTATAGCATGTCTTCTCTTGACATAGAAATGGTGCTCCTAAATATAAATCATTTTACCATGAAATAAAAACTTTATTTGAGTGTTTAGTATTCATTGACATCTCTTAAGTGTAAGTTGCTTGAGGAGAGACACAATTGTGCCATAAAGGAGCTTATCCCTACGGAGAGACATGCAGAAACCAATTACAATATGAGGAAGAATAAAATAAGTGCTAAATGGAGTGCAAAAACAGTGTTCATTAGTTCTAGTTGGGGAATAATAATATAGAATCCAATGAATCCAATGAACGTGTGTTCTCTCTGATTTGTAATTCTTCAATCACTCCTCTCCCCTGTTAAGAGAGAAAATAAAAACATTTTGACATGGTGTAAAATATAGAAAAACTATCCTAAGACTATAAAAACATAAGAAATGTCACAGTATGTATAATTCACCCAGCCCAGTTATCTGTGCCTGGGACAAAGTTTCTGAAGAACAGCCTCCAAAGGCTAAGAAGGCGGTATTATATAGTGTGTGGGCCCGAAGGTCAGGTATCTGCATCCTGTCTGCCATTTTACCAGCTGTATGACCCTGGACAAATTACTAACGAGCCTCTTTCAGTGTTAGAGTACCAATCTGTAAAATGAGGATAATAATAACCTATTAGATTGTTGGATTAAAGGAGCTAATGCATATTAAGTGCTTGGCACAATGTAAAAACTTGATACATTTTAGCTATTATTTTTATTATTCTGAAAAGAACATTGGGAATTTTATGTGATTGAGTTTAATCACATTCTTTTAAATTTATATTTTCTCTTCATCACTTCTTGGGTTAATGAACTCCCTGAATTAAAAACCTACATAATTAAATCTTACTTTCATTTGTCCAGAAGTTACCTCTTTCCGGCTTTGACTAGGAGCCCCTCAATGTCTGATATGTAAGGATTTAGAGCACCAGTCTGTTTTCTTCTAGTCTGCCTCAGAGCCTTTTTAAGTCCGTTTCTAATTTTCTTAAGGTTCTAAGATAGTTATGCATGCCATATAGTATTCCATACGTCCCATAGTTTTATATAAGAAGAGGTACTATTTTCTGTTTTGTTGGTGATAATTTTATCAACACCTTTCAGTGTTTTGTGAGCTTTTCTTTGACAGTAGTAGCTCTTTGAGTCAGAACTTTAAAGTACGATTACATTGTATTTTCCAGAATGTGCTTACTGAAATGCTATTCTATGAGGGCTTAATGAATGTTCCATTAAAAGGACTATAATTTAGGAAGCACTGAGTTAAAAAAGTTTATTAGGTATTTTTAAATATCTTATGTACCTGAAATACACTAGGTAGTGTTTTCTGAACTTGTTTCTCCATAGCATCTTGATTTTGGGAATTGTTTTGTAGAACCAGTGTTCTGGGAACACAGCCTGGGAAATGCCAATAGATAGTAATTTCTAAGTACAACTCGCAGCTTAAATCCATTATGCTACGTGAATAATTTACCCCAAAGGACATTCTTATGTGGAAGTCCTTTTATTGCTCCTTTGATCATTCAAAGAGTCTTAGGTGATTTTTTTGCAGTGTATTATTTATCATCTGGATATTTTGCTGGAAAGGTTTCATTATATCTGTTGACTTAATGATATTTTGTATTCTCCTTTCCAAATTGCTTTTAAAAGCTTACTAAGTAGTGATAGGTAGAGATATGTAGCAGAAAGTATACGAAATCCCACAGGCCTGGTATGGGAGCATTGTTCAAGCACTCAGAAGCCACATGACCTTGAGCGATTCATTTAGCCTCTTCGAATCATACTATTCTCTTTGTCTAGAGACATGGCTTTTATCCTTGTCCCTTCATTTCTTTCTCATATTACTATTTCTGATTGGCTTGATCAGGCAAATACAAAGTCAGCTTATTCTTTTAAACTGAATTTGAATTTTGACTAAAACAAAAAAGTGTAGGTTGGGACATAGAATATTTACAAGCATCATGACCAGTAGTTACTGTCAATGATTAACCACTTTCTTTACACATATCCACAAAGAGGAAAAATTAGGTCACTTTTAGTCAACTAGGACAGAATCCCTGGGAGTGGGCAGCTAAGGAGAAAGGCGTTGTGTCCCTCAGTCCATCCCCACAGGGAAGACTCTTCTATAGTATCTAAACTGAACAAGAAAAAAACTGAATGATAGCTTGACAAAAAAACAAAATTTGATAATGTCATTTTCATGATTTCACCAAATGATACTATATTACTGAGAACTTAAAATCAATATCCTCATAGTATAAAATAGCCTGGATAAATTTTGAGTATCTAATGTCTCAAATTTTTCCCCTCAGTAGGCTTTTAGGTATAAGTTCCAGTGTGTCTTTCCAAGTAAATACCCATTTCTCAGTCTTTCTCGTTCAAGCCTACTCTCAGACAATGTGAAATCCTCCATATTTGAAATCATAAATATTACCATATAATTTCTGAATTTCTTTGATGTCATCTTGTGAAAGTTTGAAATCCTTGGAATCTTTATCTCCATAGGTTGGATACATCACAGCATTAGGATCAGACGAATGACCAAGACCCAAAGAATGTCCAAGTTCATGAGTTGCAGTATATAGGAAGTTAATTCCTATAACCAAAGAGTAACATACGGTAACTATAAAAATAACTATAGGTATAAAATAAAATATAACATAACATGATACATAATATATAATAAAAAATAAAATAGCTATACATTACCTAACTGTTCAAATCCTCCAGTTTACTTGTTTCTAGGCCATCGTAGGGGGAGGGTTTAGAAGGAAAATTGGAATAGTACTGTTTTATTCTCATCACCACTTCTTTTTTCTATTTAAAGTAATGTTTTTCTGCCTATTTGCTTTTTATATAATTACTCGGCAGTATTCTATAGTGGACAGCAAAGGCTTTAGCGGTATTAAGATCTAGGTTTGAAATGTAGCTCCTCTACTTACTAGCTGAATGACTCTGGACACATTAACTGATAGTGCTGAGTCTCATTTCCTCATCTGTTAAAAAGAGATAATAATTCCTCCCTTGTAGCTTTGTCATAATAGAATTTCCCAATATTTGGAAAAATGATAGCTATTCAATAAATTATAGTGACTGGATAGCAGGAGGAAGGTGGCTTTGAGAAAGCAGGACTGAAAGGCAGGATCTCCAGGCAATGCTGGGTTTTGCTTTTGATTCATTAAATTGTATTACATATATGCCTTCCTCTCCCTCAGACTCGTAGAAAGGCTTTGCAAATAAGGGGGAAGGTGAGAGACAGAGTTCCAGTTGTGGTGCATTAGATTGCCTTAAGTCTATCTTAAATGGAAAGGAAGGAGAATGAAAAAGAAATGCAAAGTGTGAAATGGAGACAATATCATAATTTTACACAGGTTAGGTTTTCACAGCAAAGCATCACAATGGTGGTGAATTCCCACTGTCAAAAAGGTACTAATTTCCTTTTCAGGATCAGTTAGTAGCCATTTTTTTTTTAAGAACTGTCTCCAATTAGAATTATTTGGAGATAAGACAGAGTTTATTTTACAAATCAGAATTATATATAATTCTTAAATATCATAGTTGCTGTTCTTCTTTCTCCTTCAATTAAAAAACTTAAATTTCTGAGAAACATAAAGAAATAACTATAATTTATTGAATTATTAATATAGTGCAAGCACTGTGCTAAGCACTGTATAAGCATTGTCTCATTTAATTCAAACAACAATCCTGTGAGGTGGGATTTACTTACAGTCCTATTTTATAAATGAGGAAACTGAGGCTCAGAGAAGTTGACTAAGTTGCCCAAAGACACATAGCGAGTCACTGTAGGGGTACAGCAAAGTGAACCCATCGTTGCACAACTCCATAGCCTGAGCTTCCATCTTCTATATATATAGCATTATGAGCATATTGAATTAAATTATGCATTTAAAGCACATAGTGATGGGCAGTTAGCAGGGGCTCAGTAATTATTACTAATCAAAGAAATTATCAAATTAAAGTTAGTATAAGAAGTTTGAGATTTGAAAAGGATGTGGAGTAGAAAGAGAGATGGGATGCTGTACCTATACTGCTACCATCAGTCCAGCGTTCATCCTCGTCGAAGTGGGCATCTCCTCCTAGGCCTGGTCCAGGTAAAAAGGCATGAGCCAGTGTATTTCCCGGTCCATCAAATGGGTAGGAGTCCCCGTGAGCTGATAGAAAATAAAGTGGTTGCCATTAGTGACTGAATTTATGTCCAGTCATTTCATCTTTAAGTTTATATAATCATTGAGGCTAGAAAGATGAGTCTAGTCCAAGGAGTTAACACTGTTGTTATTAGCAGCCAGCTGCATACACAGAGTGGTTTGAGTGTTTATTTGTCACAGCATTTTTTCTTTCACAGATTCACTGCTCATCACTGATAACCACCATATATTGAAAGCTTACTGGATACGGGACTTAAAATATGTTCACATCTAACTTACAGTTGCATCTAAGTGTTATATTCACTTTGCTTGGCTGATGGTGGCAGGATAGAGAATGAGTGTGAGAACTGCATTCAGCAAAAAGTAGCATTTAGTATAATTTTTCTTAAAAATCTAGCTTATTCTTTGTGAGTATAGTAGAAGTCTCTTGGAGAACCATACTCAAGATGTCTTAAATGGATTTGAATAGCATTTATGATTGTGATGCAGAGCTACTTATTTTCAAATTGGTATTTGGCCATATCCAGTTTATCTAGTTCTTGAAAAATATAGAATACCACAATCAGTGCTTTCTTTAACATTTTCTTCGGCGTTGTCAGTATTATGGCTGAAGTTCAATTTCAACTAAATTCACAACACCTAGGCATTTCAATATTAGAACAGACCAAAAAGATCAATATTTTTCTCTAAATTTGTACCACGGAACACTAGTAATTAATAGCAGTTTATGTATAATGGTTATATCTCCTTAAGCCCTTTATTATGAAAGTTCTCTATTTTCTCCTTTTTTTTCTTTTTTTCTTTTTTTTTTTAACTACATAAGCTGTGTTGGTAACAGTCCACAGGGCTGTCTTCCTTCTTGGGGACCACTTAAAGCTTTTAGAACTTGTAACTCCTTACCTCGGTTTACTGTTGATGTTAGATAGATTTTAAACCATCCCATAAATGTGTGTGTGTTGGCAAGCTTTTTCCGTAAAGAAGATAATATTTAGGATTTGTGGGCTTGGTGGTCTGTCACAATCACTAAACTTTGCCATCGTGGCCCCAGTGCAGTCATACACAATAGGTAAATGAAGGTTCATGGCTGCGTCCTAATAAATATTTATTTACAGAAACAGATGGCAGACTGGATTTCACTCATGGGCCATACATAGTTTGCCTCAGCTAAAAAGTGGCTCTAAATTAATGGACTAGAAAAAGTGCAGACAATGCCAAAATCATTAAAGAGATTAAATTCTGAAAAGAAAAGGGCACCGATACAAACAACAAGCAAAATAACACACAGGATTAGCTTACAAGAATCTTCCTTACCTCCTCTTGCAAAGCCAATCATGATATCAGCAATTCCCCATCTAATTCTCTTGAAGTGCAGTGGGATCTCTTTGCTCCACATTTCGAAGGCCTTTTCCACTAGTTGATTCACTTGGAAATGTGATAAATCTCGAGTATATGATATGATCCTGGTAGCGAAAAAGAAAACAATGTTTGACCTCTTAGGAAAAGGGATTTACTGTTTTTGCCAAAATGAGCCAAAGCAAAACTAACCTGTAGGTGACTACTTTGGAAGTCCATTTTGGGCTCTCTGGGAATAGTGAGTATTCTGCAACATCTGGCATTCCACATCTGGGCTTCTGCATTATTTCTATGATGCGGGAGTTTAACATTCCAGTTATAGGGAGGCGAAAGAATTTTTGCATTTCCTTGAGTTTGGCTTCTAAACTGTTGGCACCCCTTGTTTTTGAGTCAGATGGGTAAAATCTCTTGAGATAGCCCTATTGGAAAGAGAGTAATTGATCTGTAATTCTTGTTTGTTGTCTTCGTTACTCTCGGAAGTCTGTACATCTTTGCCTCTAATTCCTGTGGACTCATATAATGATTTGAAGACATAATAGTTACATCATTACCAAGTAAAATAAGTGTGCATTGTAAAAACAGTCATGGGGATGTGAAACACAGCATAGGGAACATAGTCAATAATATCGTAATAACTATATATGGTGTCAGATGGATACTAGACTTATGGGGGTAATCACTTTGTAAGGTACATAAATGTCCAGTCACTATGTTGTACACGTGAAACTAATATAATATTTTATAACAACTGTAATTAAAAATTAAAAAAATTAAAAATTAAAAATAAGTATTTATTAATGAGAAGAAAATTTAATATTAATAATGAAGCATTGCAATTCCATTTCATGAGCAAAAAATAGAGTCCTTTTTTTTTTTATCCCATTAAATGTTCTGAGGAGAAACCAACTGTACACTTTATATAACACAGACTCGTCTGTAATAGCCAATCAAGAAAAGTGACTAGCGTGTCCTCAAGGGGCACAATTGAGACCTTCTCTTGCGTCAGAGACCCTGCAGGGAGCTCTGAAGTCACTCAGTCCCTTCTAAGACTCTCTGGAGATCTGGTCACAGCTAATGTTAAAGGGTGTTAAAATTTTAGTCCTGGGAAAGAATATTAGGAAGTTATTTAGTTTAATGTACATATTCTCCAGGTGAAGAAATCAAAGCTCATAGCAAATAAAAGATTTGCCCAGGGTTATATATTAAATTAGCAGAATTGGCCCCAAGTTTCCTGACTGCTGGGCCTGTGCTCTTTATACTGTTAAATCTCCAGTAAACCCCGCTTGTGAGGCTGGAGGATAAAGCAGGTCTGCCAGGTGAAATCCATGCTCAATTAAGCCCCTGGGAGTTTCTTAAAGGGCCTAGAGTCTGATTCTGAGGATAGCTGCTGTACTAAATAGGAAAAAATTTGAAAAGTGAATAAAATAACAGCAGTGAATAAAATAACAACAGCCTCACAAAGACTTTTATTAAGCACTTACTAATGGCAGGGACTATACTAGAAGCTTTACATACTTGTCACATTTAAACCTCATAACTACCCTGTGAAGGAGTTATGTTGTTATTCCTATTTTACATACAAAGAATAATGGGTTCAGAGAAAGAAAAAAACTTGTACAAAGCCATTCCATGAGTAACTGAAGGAGTCAGTATTTGAACTCTGATTCCAAAGCCCACTTCATTAGAAAAATGTAAAGATATATAATGCATGAAGTATTGTCAATTTGAACATTAACTCTCTCATTGGCTGTCTAATTTGAAATGGTTACTTGTCTCAGAACCTCTCAGGGGTATGCAATTTATGTAAGTAAACTTATTAATATTATGCTTTCTCTTTCTGTTATCAACGATAATATTTCCTGCTTCTGGTGAAACCTAGCTAACTTCTCTCTTGTTTATTGGCAACCTTCAGGCTAAGTAAAGAGATTCAATATTCTTGCAAGTGTACTTCTGGAGAATCCACTAGGTGGTACCATATGAAATTCATTGTTTTGGAGGTATAAAAACATATGGTTCAATCTAACATATTACTGGGACTTTTAAAAGTCAAAGTTAATGTGAAGTAAAACCTGACTTTTCTTATGCTGAAAACTTAAATTTATAAACAATACTTAGAATTAACCATTCCATTATTTTATAAAATAATTATTTACATCAATAAGTGCTTATGAAGTAGTATGTTGGAGAAAACATAATTCTTGAACCGAAAAACTTATCCTTGACCCCTTTCAAAACTCATCCTTGATTCTTCGCTATTAACAAGTATGCGAATCAATTTAACTTTGGTTTCTTCTTTTTCCCAGGATGGAGCTAAGGATTAAAGGACATAAGGTATATGGAGTACTTTGATATTGTTATATACAAGATATTTGATATTGTTCTTACTTCATTCATTCACTAGAATAATCCTATGATATATAAAACACATAGTATTATTACTTCTACGAGACATGAGAAAACAAAGTCAAAAGTTCATGCCTTGCCCATCATCATACCTGTAAGTGGGAGAGCTATAACGCCTACCCTTATTTTCTGATTTCAAGTCTCTCCATTACAAGTAGTCCTCATTATAAGAGATCTGCTCTTTATGAAAAGAATCCCAAGTTACAATAGATAGTAACTTCAATTTATTGCATATAAACAATGTTTTAGGTACTGTATTAAGGGCTTCACCACACCCTCATTTGGTCGATGTCATTATAATATCCAACATCCAAATTAGAAAACTGAAGCTTAGAGAAATTTAATAACATTCCTATGTTCATCTACTTAGTGAGTGGAGGAGTTGGGACTTGAACCCGGTCTAGGGAGGCTCTAAAGCCTGTTCTTAATAGTTGCTTGATTAAAACATATATTGCCTTTATAATAAAAAATTTACCAGAATTGAAAAAGTCACTTCCCGATGCTGATGGTGAGACCATGGAGCCCCAAATGAGTGGGCCAGTGACATACCTGAGCCTGTTCCCACTGTGGCTCACTCATGCCTCCTGCCTCCGGGGGAAGTGGCAGAGCCAGGCTGCTGGGCAGCAGGCACACTGCGCACAGCACGGCCAGCTGCATAGCTGCGGTCCAGGGATTTTCTTGGACCTATTGTTGGTTTGATGTTTTCTGCCAGAGGCTGGAGAGATTTATATAGCTTCTCAGCCCTGAATGTAAAAATAGGTGACTCATTAGAATGTTTTCTTTCTTTTTAGTATCTACAGAACTTTCAAAGTGTGTGTTATTTTTCATTAATGACAACGAGGAAGTATTTTGTTCTTATTGGCAGGAAGCACACAATGTGTTTGTCTTTGGATTATTTCTCTTGTCTGCTGTATAAATTTAATCCATGAGAAAATACATTTTATTTGCCAGAATCAAACTGCTACTCAGACATATCATCTTAATTTAAAATTTTGGGGGACACCATTTAGGACACAATTGTACCACAAATCTTAAAAGATTTTTTTAAAAATTGAAATGCATAGAAAAGTACATAAAATATACAAATAATCAAATAATTATTAAATGAACATTTTATAAGGTCATCAAAGTCAAGAAACAGAACATTGCCAGCATCCTGTGATTCGTCATAGGAGAAATGATGGCAGGATGGCAGACAGAAGAATGCTGTGCCATGACTGTGTCAGTGGCCACCGTAGAGCCCGTGCCCCATTCCCTCGCCTTCCAGGTAACTCAGTGGAGCACTGAGAATTCCCTTCTTTAGGTCTCCTTTTAATCAGATTATTTCTTTTCTTAATGGTCAACATTACTTTGGATTTCTCTTGAATTATATGAAAAAATAACAAACAAAATCTTTAAGCACAGGCTTGGCAGTTCATCAACTGCATGTACTATGCTTTACATTCTATAGAAACAAGTTTCTCTAAAGCTAGACTTTCGACTTAGAAATCATTTTATTCAATCTTTCTCTTCCAATCACCCTGACTTTGGTTGCTAACCAGGCACTGATAGGGCTGGCTTGATCCTTGATATACATAATGATTACTCTACATGTAGCAGTTAAGTTCCACAATCTAGAGATTCTAGTCCAACTACTTCATTTGTACCAAAGATGAAATTGAAGCTAAGGTGGCAGAATTAATTTATTTCCCCGAGGTCATACAACTAGTTAATAATAGCCCTGACTCCCAGTCTAGTGCTTTTTCTAATACATTACACTGCATATTTACTGCGTCATTATACATTTCTTGGGAGAGCACCATGGCTTTTGACTATAATGCCTTATTGGAAACACTCCAAATATGCTGGACCTAAAAAACTTAGTTATTCAGCTATCTTCTAAACCATCTGATGTTTGAGTGCTTTGTGTTAGCAAAGGTAAAATTTCCAGATTATTAATTAAATTTTCTCTCTTTACATAGATGCTTTATTTCTGTGTAGTTATAGTTCTACTATACTTGAGGATCTGATACCTTTATCAGTATCTGGTATGTAACAGATATACAATAAATGTTTATAGAATAAATGAATATTTATGAATTTGTATCAGCTAATTCGGAAATTATACGAATATGAGCTTTTCTGTGATCTTTGCTTTGAATTAAAGTTCAAAGGTGTTCCTTAGATTTCACATTTTATATTTTTGTTTATTTTTAGTAATTCAAAAGCACTAGACATTACAAATATTTTAAATAAATTTCAGTAACTCTTTTGAATATTCACTTTTAGATAGGGAGAAAGAAGTTTTCTCTTGTTTTGTTCATCTAAATTGTAATTAGTGAAAAAGAAAAAAAACAGGAGAGATCACGTCCCAGTTCCTGTCTTTAGAAATTTATGCTCTGGAGCTGGGATATAGGGGGATACTCTTAAAACAATGTGACAAATGCTTGTAATACACGATGCTAGCAAGAAGAAGGGAACAGTTAATCCTTTCTATGAGAATTGAGGAATGATTTATATAAGAGACGATATTGTAGCTGGATTTTGGAGAGTAACTAGGAATTCCCTTGGGATACACCAGTATAAAAAGAGTAGGTGAGAAGAGAAGAGCATGGACAGAGAAGAATGATTAGTCAGTGTTGCTGCGGGGTGAGTGGCTAGAAAAGCAGGTTGGGGTCAGATTATGAAGACTCAGCCTTGTATGCCAGGGAATTCGGATTTTATCCTAAAAGGTGTCAAAGAATTTTAAAGGAAGACAGTAGCATCATCATATTTGTAATGTTGTAAGAAAATGTCAGTGGCTGCTGCCTTTGAGTGCTGTTATTTTCTGAAGATGGATAGTGGAAGGACAGATGACTCTCTGTAGAGGGATATCAGAGAAGCAGAAAGATCAAGAGCAAGAAAAAACAGGTGAGAGAGGGAGGATGAGGCCTTAAATTAAGGCTGACTGGAGGCGTAGAAAAGAGGAAGGAAATTCAAATCTATATAGAAGGTAGGATTGATAAAAACAAAACAAAACAAAAACTTAGGAGCTGATTGTTTGCATGAGTGAGAAAGAGAAATAAATATGGTCTAAGTATAATGGACTTAGTGGACAAGGCTTATGGGAGAAGAAAGGAGAAGTAAATTTTCAAGGGAAACAGGGATTTGGTTGTGATTAAACAATGACATCAGTTTTGGATATCGATTTTGGATATTTTCAGCTAGAAAATCAGATCTGGAGCTCATGAGAGCTATCTGCCCTATAGGTATAGGTCATGAGGAACTTATTTCTAAAGAAGGAAAATCAGGTTTTTTATTGTGGTAAAATATGCATAATATAAAATTTATCATTTTAAACATTTGAAGTGTACAGATCAGTTTCATTAAGTACATTCTCAGTGTTGTGCAACCATCACCAATGTCTATTTCAGAACTTTTTCATCATCCCAAACAGAAACTCTGTACCCATCAATCAGTAACTCTTTCTTTCCTCCTCCCCCTAGCCCTTGATAATCTCTATTCTAGATCTCATCTCTATGAATTTGACTATTCTAGGTACTTCATACAAGTGTATTCATATAATAGTTGTCCTTTTGAGTGTGGCTTATTTTACTTCGCATAATGTTTTCAAGATTCATCCATGTTGGAGCATGTATTAGAGCTTCTTTCTTTCTTTTTTTTATGATATAGGATATATTACATTTTGTTTACCCACTTATCTGTCAGTGGATACTTGGGTTGTTTTTCTCTTCTGGTGATTGTGAATAGTTGTGTAATGATCATTGATGTATAAGTATCTGTTTGAGTCTGTTTTCAATTATTTTGGGTGTATACCTATGAGTGGGATTGCTGGGTTATATAGTAACTCTAGGTTTAACTTGTAAACTGTTTTCTACAGAGGCTATACCATTTCACATTCCTACCAGCAATATATGAGGATTTAAATTTCTCCATATCCTTGTCAACATTTGTTATTTTCCGTGTTAAAAATTAAAAAAAAGATTATAACCATTTTAGTAGGTGTGAAATGATATCTCACTATGGTTTTGATTTGTATTTCTAATGACTAATGAATGATGTTGAGCATCTTTTCATGTGCTGTTGTCCATTTGTAACCCTTCTTTGGAGAAATGTCTATTTAAAGTGTTTTGCCCATATTTTTAATTGGATCTTTTTGTTGTAGGAGTTTTTTATAAATACTCTAAATATTAAACCCTTAACAGATATATGATTTATAAATATTTTCTCCCTTTCTGTAGGTTATCTTTTAATTTTATTGATATTGTCCTTTGATGCATAAAAGTTTCTCATTTCAATGAAGTCTAATTTCTTTTTTCTTTGGTTGCTCATACCTTTGGTGTTATAGCTAAGAATCCACTGCCAAGTTCAAAGGTTAATACCTATGTCTTTTTCTAAGAGATTTATGATTTTAGCTCTTCTATTTAGGTCATTGATTTGCATGCTTTATTTTTGATAGCTTTTCTTTTTATACCTTTGATTTTCCTCACTGTAGTGTGATTTTCTGCTTTAGTGGTCTGACCATGCTGACTTAACTTGTTATCATATTAAAGGGAGTCATTCAGCCCAGTTCGGTTTACTTCTTTGTCATGATGGCAAAATACTTAACCTCCCTGTGATTCAGATTCCTTATCTGAAAAACAGAGATAGTACCTTTCTTTTTAGGTTATAGTGAGGATTAAATGAGAAGATTAAGTGTACAAAAGACTTAGCAGTGTTTTTAAAACATGGTAAGAATTCTATAAATGCTAGCTAATATCATCGTCATTGTCATTATATGCTAGGATTTTTTATGTATTGTAGCGATCTTTTTCTTTTACCTCTATAAGCCTAGCATGGTGATCATATAATTAACTATAAAAGAAAACAGGAGGTTTAAGTGGTTTCGTTCCAATAATTTTATTGATCTTATTGATGCTGATAATGCCAATGTTTTCTGAAAACAAAGAAGTAAATATTTAAATAACCAACCAAAGAAGTCTTATCATAGATGCGACTGACTTTTTAAACAAGAAAAGCATTTTTGGTGTTTGTCAATAAAATCTCTGGGTGGATAGTATGAACACCAGAATATATCTGCAGAAGGAAAAAAAAAAATCGAAATAGAGTAAATCAGATGTTAGGGCAAATACACAACTTTAATTTTAAATGCATGGAAACATTTCACATTCAGGTGAAAATGGGTTTATACGGAGGAAAGAAAAGCAGTGGAATACCTTAGAATGTAACTGATAAAATGAAGGACCCTCCCACTACATCTGTGTGAGAAGCAACCAGACAAAGTGACATCTAAGCCTGTTCTAAGTAGACGGTGAGCTGTTGCAGCAATGTTGCCTCTCAGTACACTGCCACTGCCCTGAAGCCCATGCATCAGCTAATGGAAGGAAAATTCTAGAATTGAAAAAGTGAAGGAGGAAGGAGGAACCAGAGAGAAGGGAAGTGAGAGAAAGTGAGAGAGAGGGTGATCTGAATGACTAGAGCCTTTGTTCAGGTTCCATTCTTTATACTTCCTTCCTCCACTACCGAGGGAGAAAGCAAACAAAACCATTTACTCTTCCTCTTTGTCTGTTTCTTACTTTCCCCTCAGACCCTAACATGTAAAGATCTGAACCTTGCTTAACCACACCTATCTCCTCTGCTTGCAAGAGGAAGGGCAGGGAAACTTTTAAACAAAGCTAGACCTTTTTTTCCAGCAGTGCCAATATTTATAAGTGATATCTCAGAAAAGGCAGT